ATATATATATATATACATTATATACATAAGCCTTAATTGACACACTCCAGCTTTAAGATACCTCTTCTTGAGTCCTGGTGTAATCATCTCCTCATCCATTATCATAGATGAGCCATTATATCACTGCTTATCTTTTCATTAATATGTCAGTTTATGCACATCAGGTGTGAGTGATTTAAGAGAAAGATGAGACATCAAGGTCAGTCATTGCCCAGATTAGTCATTGGTCCACAATGTAGTACTGGGGGTATTATGAATCCATCATGTATCTACAGTAGTCAGGAATAACTGGTTAAATAAAAATTTCTTCAAAAATGAGATTTTGGGATGGAAACAAGTCATGTCCTATTGCTGAAATATATTGTGATCACATTGCTTATAATTTGTATTAATTGATTATAAGACAAGTGGGCTTATAACAGCGCATACCTAGGATGAATCATTCCTTTCAGGAAATCAAATGTTTTGAATCACAGAACTGCACATTTGGTGCAAAAATCACTTGACAGATATTTTTGACTCCATATTTTGATAATCTGACATGAGACATTCAATGTTGTATTGTCACTGTAGAACTCCCAATTGTGGCCTGATATTTATAGAATCTAATGAGAGAACGAGAGAAGACAATTATTTCACTGAAAAAAAAATTATAAAATATATTTATTAAAAAAAATATTTATAAAATGTAAATATAGAGATATTTAAGTTTAAACAAAAAAAATGAACACTTATGAATGAACCCTAATTCAGGAGCAGGGGCGTGTCTACGTGGTGGCCAGGGGTGGCACCAGCCCCCCCTGAAATTTGGCTGGCCACTCCAGGTGCCCCCCCCCCACCAAATGTCTTGCCATAGGCTTGTTTTTAGTAAATTTATAATTTTAGGCGGTTTCTATAATGTGATCTTAATGACAATGTCGAGAGCGCATATGTTACGCGATCCATGTGCGCGAGGACGAATCTTTCCACTCCCAAGCGGATTTCCTTCACTCGCACAAAACTGGACGTGTGCTTTTAAATATTGTTCTTTTAGGAATTGGCTCTGCTCTCGCTCAGATATTGCGTGTACATGCTCAAACGTTGTCTTCGCATCACTGAAGACGAAGAGCTTTTTTCTAATTCAGGTGAGGAGTACTTATCTCACTAAATGGAAGCAAGCTGATTATAGTCAGCCTTCTCTAGTTATTTATTTCCGGCCACCCTCTTTTCAGCCAGTGCCCCCGACTGGCCACCCCATTTAAAATGCTCTAGACACGCCCCTGTTCAGGAGTAGCATTATCTTACACAATTTTGCATCTGAAGTAAATGTGTCTTGTTTTAAGGATGTTTTTAATATCTTACTGCATATGTTGACGAAAAAAATTACTCTTTTTAATTATATTTATCACATTATTAGTTATGATAAACTGACAGGAAAGCAAAGTTAATGTCAGAGAGGAAGAGAAAACTGAAAGAATTGGGGTGTGAGAAGGAGAGAGAAGGTGAGAGAGAAAAGTGAGAGACAGACAGAAAAAAGAAGGGAGCTCTCTCAACCAGAAAATATGATGTGGCAAATTGCGATGCTTTCTGGTCAGCATTATTTGATTCTATTTCCTGAGGCGTCCCTGAGAGGGATAGATGCTGGATTGAGTGTGTCTGTCTACATGTGTGTGTAAGGCTACATTTGTCTGCCCAAGGCTTCATCCCAGTCCAGTCACAGCACGCACACAAACACATACACACACATGCTCAATCCCCTTAGCAGTGGCGGATCAGGCCTGGAAGTGCTGTAAAATGACAGTGTGGGACCCTGATAGTGTGTTAACACACTGAAGAAAGCATAGAGCCGAAACTTTTGTGTTTACCATGTGGTGAGGAAGGTAAAATAAAATGTACTCGCAGATTTAAAAAAGTTTGAGTGCAGATCTTTGGTTCATATGTGAAGTAATTAAATTGATTGGCGCAACAAAAAATATACATATAAACGTGTGGCCAAGTATGGTGACCCATACTCGCAATTTATGCTCTACATTTAACCCATTCAAGTGCACACACACAGCAGTGAGTAGTGAACACACACACACACCCGGAGCAGTGGGCAGCCATTTTTGCTGTGGCGCCCGGGGAGCAGTTGGGGGCTTGGTGCCTTGCTCAAGGGCCTCACCTCAGTCGTGGTATTGAGGGTGGAAGAGAGCGCTGGTCATTCACTCCCCCCACCTACAATCCCTGCCGGTACCGAGACTCAAACCTGTTACAAGTCCAACTCTCTAACCATTAGGGCACGACTGCCCCACAGTGTGGGGAGCGAATTACAGCATATACCATAATCTGTCTGATAATGGATTTTGGAAATGTCTCGGTTTTGATAATGGAAACGTCTCGGATTTCAAAGTTAGTCGTGACAACATTAGGGGTCTAACTTGGAGTTTAAGAGAAAAGGCCAATGAGAATTAGCTAGGGAATTTTGCATGCTGAATGTTGACAAGCCGTGGCGTGTCAAGGCAAACCTACGCCAAGGTTATAACCTTCCCAAAGCCCCAGCACAAATTCACAGACCTTGGTACTGAATGGGACCAAATGGTGAGTACAATGCTGCTGGAGAAGGCCATGCTGCTGTTCCGTCCACAAAAAAGTTTTTGGAAGGGATTTCAACGTTCAGTGAAAGATTACTTCAAATCTTCCCTATTTGTTCTTTCAGCCTGGCAGAACGATGGGTAAGTGATCCTTCAGGAAAAGGTCGCTACGGAGAACACATCCTACCCGTAGGGAGATAACATGTGGAGATACTGATAATGACTGACCTAGGGGCAGTACTACATATGGAATGGGTCTCTGAGGCAGGTCCTACCTTAGAGTAGGGATGGAACAACTGCTAGAAGAGACTGACAGAGGGGGTCTGTCAAGGGAAGACACGGGTTTACCAAGAGGGAAACCTTACCGTGGA